TAGGAATTTCTTTCTCTTTCCACTTCTGGGCAAATACCATTCTTGCCACGGTGATGATGTGTATTATCAAATAGAACCCTTCCTTATATTTTTGGGGTATTTGATATATATTTTTTTTTTCCAACCAACAGATTTGATTAAAAATCCATTTTTGTGCTGTAGTACAGTTTCGAGCTAAGCACTCTGTGCATTTCATGAAGCTGCAGCTTATGAAATCTAAAAAATAATAATAGTGCCATCAGCAACTCCGTTTCAAAATATTTACATACACACACACACACACACACACAGAGAGAGAGAGAGAGAGAGAGAGAGAGAGAGAGAGAAAAGAGAGAGAACTGGGTTAAACTCAGAATTCCACAGAACTCAGTTTTTTTTTTCTAAACAAAGAGGAAAAACAGAATTGCAGAAGCTTGTTGTGGTTCGCTGGCAGCTGGTAGCAGAATGGGGGCCAGTCTGGGAGTCTGGGGAGGACGCGGACGAGGGTCCTGTGTCCGATGCAGAGATGGGGCCAGGACCATCTCGGAGTGGGGTGCTGCCTCCGGAGCCTCTGGAGCCTGGCAGCAGTGAGGCAGAGGAACAAGGGGAGCCTGTTCCCAGTGCATGTATGCGCAGAGCTGCTAGAAGGCGAGAGCCAGCTGAGACAAAAGGGGCGACTCAGGAGTAAGGCTGGAAGGTGATTGCCCCTCCCATAAGGGATAAAAGTCAGGCAAAGGTAGAGAAACCTTTGCAGGAAGCAAAGTCGTTCTCTCTGTTCAGATTAATCCTTGAAGCTCTGTGCGGACTTTGTACTTCCGTTAGTTTTTTTTATAATTCATTTGGCACTTCAGTTGTTGGCAGCAATTCAAAGGAGAGAAAGGTGGGTGCTTATCTCAAGGAACTGTTTAGGACTCATTATGGGCTGGGAATGAATTATTTGAAATAAAACAAGAGTTGTTTGGACTAAGCGTGTGCTTAATTACGGTCTCAGGAAGCCTTGGTCAGAACAAGGCTTAAGTGTGGTCTACTCACGATTCAACATCACTATCCAAAAGATTAGATCCATTAATTCAACCCCAGTGCAGAAGAACGTGCCAAACTATAGATAGTCCTCAACTTACAATAGTTCCTTTAGTGACCGCTCAAAGTTACAACGGCATTGAAAAAAAGGGACTTATGACCGTTTTTCAGATTTAACACCTTTGCAGCCTCCCCGTTGGTCACGTGATCCAAATTCGGATCCTTGGCAACTGACTCATACTTACGACCGTTGCTGTGATCCCAAGGTCATGTGATCCCCTTTTGTGACCTTCTGACAAGCAAAGTCAATGGGGGAAGCCAGATTCACTTAACGACCGGGTGACTAACTGATCAGCTGCGGTGATTCACTTAACAACCGTGGCCAAAAAGGTCATAAAACGGGGCAAAACTCACTTGACAAATGTCTCACTTAACCAAAGAAATTTTTGGTTCAATTGTGGTCATAAGTCAGGGACTAGACTGTACTAGGAATAATGAGCAAAGTGATGCTTGCATGGGTGAAAATAAATACTTTTTCCTTTGGTTCAGTATATCCATATATCCATATGCCTCTATCTATCTATCTATCTATCTATCTATCTATCTATCTATCTATCTATCTATCTAATCTCTTTCTTTCTCTCTCTCTCTCTCTCTATATATATATATATATGACCCAATTTTTTCATACCTATTTCCTGTATTCTTAGTCATGTTTATATTTATACCTATTGTCTTGTAAGCTATTGACAAATCAAATATACAGAAGCCTGATGGTGGCAGATTAGATTTTGCCGAAACGTTGCTACAACTTTAAAAGCACAACTATAACAACGTGGGAAAATACTCGAATACTATATATATATATATATATATATATATATATATATGGATCTTTGGTTGTTCGGGTTTTCTCCCACGTAAGATTCGAAGTATCTAGGCAACGTTTCGATGAAGTCTCATTCATCATCTTCAGGCTTCTATCTCCGGCTCTGTGCTTCTCAGAGTAATGGAGATTGCAGCTGCTTCCTCCTTTTAACTGCCAGTGGGGGTGGGACTTGATTGGGTGGGGGCTTGGCTGTGTTCTGATTGGTTGGGGGGTTAGCCGTGTTCTGATTGGTTGGAGGCGTGTTCTGTTCAGGTGGGGGCTTGGTTGTGCTCAGGTTAGTCTTAGTTGCTGGGGGATTTGAGCTGGAGAGTTGTGATCTTGCTGTTTGGCTTCTAGTTCGTGGTCCTGCTGCATCTTCATAGTGGGTGTCGGTTTGCTTCATGTGTGGCTCAGAGGGGTTTGAAGTGGGTAGTGATGCAGCTGCAGTGCAGCTTCTGGTCCATGGTCGTTTCTCATTTTCTGAATGGGTGGGAGTCTGTTTTCTACATGGAAGTGTGGTGGTGGCATCTTGTGTGGCTCTCATGGGTGTGGGTCCGGTGTCCTTCTTCATGTTAGGTACTCGTCTGTGTGTGTATATGTGTGTGTGTATATGTGTGTGTGTGTGTGTGTGTGTGTGTATGTATATATGTATGTGTGTATGTGTATGTATATATACACACACACATACATATACATACATACATACATATATATGTATGTATATATATACAGTATAAAGCATTATTGTAAGCAGGGAAAAATGCAAAAAAATAATCTTTTTTTCATACAGGGAAACATTATATATTCCTTATCTGCGTGTGAATAAGAACTGGAGTACTTTATATAACGGTTAAGACAGAGTCTTGCACACAACGAGGAATGCCGAGGAGTCTGCAAAATAGACTATGGCGCAACTACACTTACCAAAGAAGCCAACGGACTGCGAATATCACATCCTGTGGAAGTCCACACTGCCTGAGACATACCAATTCAGACCAGCTAAGTTGTGAAAGATCACACCTGATGTGTCACAGGTGGTTGCATACAGATTGAATGGTTGCACGATTTGGGTTTGGCTAGTCTAGAGAAAAGAAGGACTAGGGGGGACATGATAGCAGTATTTGGGATAACAGCTAACATGACTGGAGGAGGAATTCTGGGAATTGAGGTCCACAGGTCTTAAACTGGCTAAGTTTGGAGACCCCCTGGCTTAAGGGAGTCAGTGAAGAAGGCGCTGGACTACAACTCCCAGACTCTCCAGACAGCGCAGGTGCTTAGACGCTGGCCAGAGGGATTGTGGGAGTTGTAGTTCCGGACGAACGGAGGCCTCCGGCTAAACTAGGCCTTCGCTCTCGCCCCGGAAGGCTGCTTCTCCCCCACTCACCCCACGCTGAAGCCCCAACGACCCCTTTAGGCGAGGGTCCTACCCGCGCGCGCCTGTCCCCGGACGCGGCTGACGAAGACGAGGAGGGCCGCCAGCAGCACCGCCGCCACCACGTAAAGCACTGGGTCCATCTTCGTCACGTGGCCTCCGTGAGCCCCGCCTCTTCCGGTCGGGCCTCTCGGGACAGCCGAGCAATCCAGAAGCGAGGGTAAGGAAAGTGGAGGGCGGGATCGGAGGCCATGGCCACGCCCACTCGTTGCCTGCCTGTTTGCCTGGTTGGTTGGCGCGCGGGCGGAAGAGGCAAAGGAAGGCGATCGGGGTTCGCCCTCCTGCGGCGTCGCCTAGCAACCAGAAGGCTCGACATCGGGCTTTCCCCCCCACCCCCCATGAGCTGTCCGACGAGGTGCCTGATTTGAAAAAAAATACTTTTGCCTTTGTTTTGGCCTTGGAAATAGGCCAAGCAATTAATGAAGAAAATGAACGAAAGTTTAGAGCGGGTATGTGTCTCCAAACTGGGCCACTTTAAGACTTGTGCACTTCAACTCCCAGAAGTCCTCAGCTAAACGTGGCTGGCTGAGGAATTCTGGGAGTTAAAAACGGACTAATAGATAATCAGAGTTGGAAGGGACCTTGTAGGTCATCTAGTCCAACCCCCTGCCCAAGCAGGAGACCCTACACCAATTTTTGACAAATGGCAGTCCAGTCTCTTCTTTAAAAACCTCCTGTGATGAAGCATCCACAGCTTCTGAGGGCAACTTCTGTTCCACTGGTTGATTGTTCTCACTGTCAGAAAGTTTCTCCTTATTTCCAGGTTGAATCTCTCCTTGTTCAGTTTCCATCCATTCTTCCTTGTCTGGCCTTCGGGTGCTTTGGAGAATAGCTTGACCCCTTCCTCCTCTCTGGGGCAGCCCCTCAAATATTGGAAGGCCGCTCTCCTGTCTCCCCTGGTCCTTCTCTTTTACCAGACTAGCCGAGCCCAGTTCCTGCAACCGTTCATTGCATATTTTAGCCTCCAGTCCCCTCATCATCCTGGTTTCTCTTCTCTGCACTTTTTCTAGAGTCTCAACATCTTTTTCATAGTGTGGTGACCAAAACTGGATGCTGTACTCTAGATGTGGCCTTACTAAGGCTTTATAGAGGGGTATTAGTACCTCCTTTGATCTCGATTGTATCCCTCTGTTGATGCAATTTAGGATTGCATTGGCTTTTTTGGCGGCTGCTGCACACTGTTGGCTCCTATTTAGCTGGTTGTCCACTAAGACTCCAAGATCCCTCTGACAGTTCCTGCTATTGAGCCTGGTTTCACCCAGTCTATTAAATGTGTCCTTTTGGTTTTTCTTGCCTAAATGTGGGACTTTACTTTTCTCTACATTGAATTTCATTTTGTCAGATACAGCCCCGTGTTCTAGTCTTGTCGAGATCCATCTGGATCTTCAGCCTGTCTTCTTGGGTATTAGCTCTTCCTGCCAGCTCAATATCATCTGCAAATTTGGCAAGTCCCCCTTCTATTCCCTCATCTAAGTCGCTAATGAAGATATTTTAAGAGTCCTGGGCCTCAGAGGGAACCTTGTGGCACCCCACTGCTTTCTTCCCTCCATGTAGACTTAGACCCATTAAGGACTACTCGTTGAGTACGGTTTGCCAGCCAGTTGCAAATCCATCTAGTGGTGGTGCTTTCTATTCCACTTTTTTCTAGCTTACCGTCTTTCTCACAAAATAAGGCCGGGCCTTTTTTTTTTTTTTTTTGACCCCCGAAAAAACGGCTAGGCCGTCTTTTCGGGGACAACTTAATTTCCTCCCCCATCTAGAGCGGTCCATATGCACATACCTCGCCACGAGGTACAGCTTCTATCGGCTGACGAAACCTCCCTTGAAGGCAGAGTCCCCAGCCGCTTCAGGGCGTGGCGTGGCTGCCCACGTCCCCTTGCCTTTAGGGCAGTCTCTTTCGGGCGATGGAAGCTCCCCAAGGGCAGTCACCAGCCCCTTCGATCGGCCGGTAGAAGCGGCCTCGGGGCGAGGGGAGTGTGTGTGTCCCCCTCCCTCCCTTTCTCCCCTTCCCACTCCTTCCTTCTTCATTCCCTCCCTCCTTCCCTTCCCCTTCCTTCCTTCCTTCCTTCCTCCCTCCCTCCCTCCTTCTCTTTCCCTTCCCTCTCCTTCCTTCCTTCCCTTCTCCTTCCTTCCTCCCTCCCTCCCTTCCCCTTCCTCCGTTCCTCCCCTTCCCTCTCCTTCCTTCCTTCCTTCTTCATTCCCTCCCTCCTTCCCTTCCTCTTCCTTCTTCCCTTCCCTCCCTCCCCTTCCCCTTCCTTCCTTCCTTCCTTCCTTCCTTCCTTCCTTCCTTCCTTCCTTCCTTCCTTCCTTCCTTCCTCCTTCCCTCCCTCCCTCCCTCCTTCCCTTCACCTCCCTCCCTCCTTCTCTTTCCCTTCTCTCTCCTTCCTTCCTTCCCTTCTCTCTCCTTCCTTCCTTCCCTTCTTCTCTTCCCCGTCCTTCCTTCCCCAGTAGAATGATTATGTTCACTCTAAGGGGGTGTGTATGTGTGTTGTCTATGCTGCATTAATTTGAACAAGAACACAACAGGTTGCCTACCGCCTCCCTGTGGTCAGTCTTGAATGCAAACCATTTGTTCAGTAACCCAGGTTACCACAGCAGTGAAAAAAGCAACCTATGACTGTTTTTCACACTTATGGCCATTGCAGCACCCCCATGGTCACGGGGTCAAAGTTCAGGCATTTGGCCCCCCTGACTCATATTTATGATGGTTGTAGTGTCCCAGGGCCACGCGAATGTCTGACCTGCAAAGTCAAAGGGGGAAGCCGGATTCACTCCGCGCCTCGCGATTCCCTTAACAGCCGCGGTATGGCAGGTCGTAAAACGGGGGGCAAAACTCGTGTAACGAAGGTTTCACTGAGCAACAGAAGCAACTCCCCGTAATGAGATTTATTTTATTTTTTTCAGGCCTCTGCTGAAAGTATCGGAAAAGCCATTAGCAAACCTGCTGAGAGATACCCTGTATAAACATTCACTCAGTCTGACATCCACATGCACACACAAACCCGCGTGCACGGACATCACGCCCGCTGGTGTATTGATTCTGCCTTTAGCTCTTCGGTGTGCTCAAATAAAAAAAGGAACCCCTTTGTTTGCCGATGGTAATTAGCCTTCCTTGAGAATATAGGACTCTCTGACAGTTATTCTTTTCTCCTCAAAGTGATGGTGTTACAATAGAGCAGCTGACCAGGGAAACGAAAGTTCTCCACCGTTCAGAGCCTGCAGGAAGAAGGATGGCAAATGTTACCGGCAGATAAGGTGGGGTAAGTCCTTGCCTATTTGTTTGCTCTTTGTCCCAAAAGTGTTTTTCAAAAGGCAACCAACTGGACTTGGCTGTTTTTTCCCCCACCACCACCCTGAAAAAATTTGGCTTTTCACCCGAGAAGCTTCTTCACCTCTGGCCAAACGGTGGAAGGTGGAAGGATTTATATTCCTTGCAGCCTTCTACTTGTTAGCGTTCTTTCTGATCGTATGAAATATCACTACTGCTTTATAAAACCTTAGTAAGGCCACACCGGGAATCCTACATCCAGTTTTGGTTCACCACATTACAAGAAAGGCGCTGAAACTTTGGGAAAAGTGAAGAGAAGAGCGACTAGGATGATTTTTAAAGGCCTGGGGGCAAAAAAATATCCAGAACGGTTGCAGGAATTAGGTATGGCCAGTCTGGAGGGATGACACGATAGCAATATTCCAGTATTTTGAGGGGGCTGCCACAAAGAGGAGGGGGTCAACTGACTTTTCAAAGCCCCTGAGGGCAGGACAAGAAGCAACGGATGGAAACGAATCAAGGAGGAGAAGCCACCTAGAAATAAGGAGAAACTTCCTAACAGTGAGAACAATTCACCAGGGGAACAGCTTGCCACCAGAAGTTGTGGGAGCGCCATCACTGGGGTTTTTTTTTTAAAGAAGAGTCTGGACAGCTACTTGTCTAACATGATATAGGTTATCCTGCTTGAGCAGAAGGTTGGACTAGAAGACCTCCAAGGTCCCTTCCATTCTATTCTATTCTATTCTATTCTATTCTATTCCATTCCACTCCACTCCACTCCACTCCACTTCTGTTCTGTTCTGTTCCGTTCCGTTCCATTCCATTCCATTCTATGTCTATTCTATTCTATTCTATTCTATTCTATTCTATTCTATTCTATTCCATTCCATTCCACTCCACTCCACTCCACTTCTGTTCTGTTCTGTTCCGTTCCATTCCATTCCATTCTATGTCTATTCTATTCTATTCTATTCTATTCTATTCTATTCTATTCTATTCTATTCTATTCTATTCTACTCTATTCTATTCCTCCACTCCACTCCACTCCACTCCACTCCACTTCTATTCTATTCTATTCTATTCTATTCTATTCTATTCTATTCTATTCTATTCTATTCCATTCCATTCCATTCCATTCCATTCCATTCCATTCCATTCCATTCCATTCCATTCCATTCCATTCCATTCCATGTCTATTCTGTTCTATTCTATTCCATTCTATTTCTATTTCTATTTCTATCCCATCCCATCCCATCCTATCCTCCAGCTTTGGGGAATTAATCTGAGCACCCAGAAGTGTAATCCTAATGATGAGAAGAAAAGCATTTAACCTTGCTGAAGCATCCCCTAAGAGCAGTGGAATTTTTAGAGCCCATTTCTTTGAGATGCTTAGCTGGCTTTTGCTTTTTGCTTTTGCTCGTGTGTGTGTGTGTGTGTGTGTGTGTGTGTGTGTGTGCGTGTGTGGTTTTTCCCCCTTGATTGTGCAAGGGGACCGAGAGTGAACATTACAGCCCTTGAGGGCTTCCGGTTTTATTCTAGTGTTCCCGGGAGATACACCTGGCAGCCGTTCATTTGCAGGTAACGGATGGGAAGCAGATATTTATCCACTTTTTTCACGGGAAGTAGCATATGTAAAGGTACGTTGTACGGTCACTCAGTGAGAGGGAGCAGCGGGCTTGTTCCACGCTACTGTCATTTGCAGGAAGTAGAAGGAATAGAGAGAGGAGAAGGAAGAAGAGAAGTAGGAGGGAGGAGAAGGGGAAAGAGGAGGATGAAGAAGAGGAAGGAAGACAGTTAAGAAGTTTGTATAGAGGAAGAGGAGGAAGAAGAAGAGGTAAAGGAGAAGAAGAAAAAGGAAG